CTTAAAATCAAACATTCATTCTCAAAGTTAAAAAAAAACAAAAAAACAAAAAAATCCCCCTCCTCCTCCTCCTCCCCTCCTCCCCCTCCTCCCTCCTCCTCCTCCTCCTCCTCCTCCTCCCCCTCCTCCTCCTCTCCTCCTCCTCCTCCCCTCCCTCCCCCTCCTCCTCCGCCTCCTCCTCCTCCTCCTCTCTCCTCCTCCTCCTCCCCCTCCTCCTCCTCTCCCCTCCTCCTCCTCCTCCTCCTCCTCCTCCTCCTCCTCCTCTCTCCGCCGCCCAAATTGCCTCATAACCGCCGTTCTTCCCGAGTCGATCTCCAGGCGGGCGGAAGTTTACCGAACGCCAAATTAACATCCGTTCAAAAGTTAGCTCGTGTTTTTGGGGCTCCGCGCTCATTCGATGGGCGGCGGGAGGGGGGGGGGAGGGGAGAGGGGGGGGAGACGGGGGGGGATGGTATCATTATTAATTGGTATTATCATTGTTATTTTTAGTCTTGTAGGCATTATCATTCTTATTGTTGTTCTTATTCTCATTCTTATTGCCATTATCTTATTGTTATTATTATTGCTTAAATTATTATCATTGTTGTATTGGTATTATCATTGTTATTTTTAGTCTTGTAGTCATTATCATTATTATTGTTATTCTGATTCTTATTGCCATTATCATTATTGTTATTATTATTGTTATTAAAATTATCATTGTTGTTATTATTTATTTTTGTTATTATTATTATAGTAATTTTGTTAGTTATTATCACCTATATCATTATCATTATCGCTATAATAATCGTAATGATGATGATAATGATAATAATGATAATAGTTATCATTATTCTCATTATTATTATTAAAGTGATTAATGCTAATTCAGTGGAAATCCTGGAAATAATAAGGTTAATGATAATGATGATAGCAATGACAGCGGCGATGATATTGAAAATAATGACAATACTAATGATAAGATTTATAATTACTTGGATAATAATAATGATATTAATTCATTTATTTGGTGATAATACTGTTGTTATGACACTATTATCCCCAAAGCAATTATCATTATAATGAATATGTAATTATTTAAGGTTATTATGATTATGATAAACACGTGATTATCATAAAAAACGTAATTATTCAAAGTATAAGTATAATAAAAACGTAATTATGATATACGTCATTATCTGAAACAATTATAATTATAATAAAAAACACATAATTTAAATAAACACGTAATTAAAGTAATTATCATAATAATTAGGTGATTATCTTGTCCCTCCGTCGCCCGGAACTTTCTCGAAGCAGTGGGCGGGGCTTAGTCAACGAGGGGGGCGGAGCCTATCCACTTGCAACCACTTTATACGAACGCCGATGACGTCATTTTTTTATTTTTATTTATTTTTATTTTTTAAGATTATGACAATTGTTTCATTGAGGAAGTGACATTCCTCTTTTTTCCCTCTTTTTCTTTTTTTTTCTTTATTCTTTTCTTTTCCTCTTTCTTTTTTTTTTTCTTTTTTTACTTCTTTAATCTTTTTTAACTCTTTTTCTCTCTCTTTTTTCCTACTTCTGTCAACTTGTAAGAATGTATGTCGACATTTGGTCCATTCCTAAGACGTCCTTGTGTACGTGTCGTCCTTGTGTGCGTGTCGTCCTTGTGTACGTGTCGTCCTTGTGTACGTGCCGTCCTTGTGAGCGTGTCGTCCTTGTGTGCGTGTCGTCCTTGTGTACGTGTCGTCCTTGTGTGCGTGTCGTGTCGTCTTGTGTACGTGTCGTCCTTGTGTACGTGCCGTCCTTTGTGAGCGTGTCGTCCTTTGTGTACGTGTCGTCTTGTGTACGTGCCGTCCTTGTGAGCGTGTCGTCTTGTGTGCGTGTCGGTGTGCGTGT